AAACGAGTGCGTCTGATTTCGCTCCCTTGGTGACGTGGCAAAGGGATCTCATTAAAATATTACCGTCCCTTAATCTGTAAATTTCCACCCACGCCATCATTTTGATTTTGCAAGTGACAACGGTGCACCAGCTCTAATGCCATGGTGAAAGTTTGAGCAAAACATGCTAACTGTTCTGTCTTTGGCTGCACAGACGAGCACAGAACACTATTTAGAGTTCCAGCCTCAGAGGAGACGAGAGCAGTGGATTTATTGATTTATTTACTGTATATTGCTGCTGCCACACAGATCTAAAATAAACATGTGATTTATTTCCCAGCTGTTTACCTTCACAGACATAACCCACTGTTTTTGTAACTCGTGTGTTGTTAACGTAAACTTGTGTGTGAATGAGAACTTAGTTTAGTACTCACATGCTGTGACAGCCGCTTTCTGTCCATGTGCTTCGGGTGTGTGCTCTCAGAAAACCATATATCTGAAGTTTAAACTCATGTGGTTTAAAACGCATGATTTCATCGCGATAAACATGATAATCAGAACCAAAACAGATGTTTTTAGCAGGTACGAGCTGTAAAGGCGCAGCTCTATTCTGGAAAAGGGGGCGGGGAGCAGCAGCTCATTTGCATTTAAAGAGACAGGCACGAAAATTACTCACCCCCATGTCATGATCCAAGATGTTCATGTCTTTCTTTCTTCAGTCGAAAAGAAATTAAGGTTTTTGAGAAAAACATCCAAGGATTTTTGTCCATATAGCGGACTTCAACAGTTACCAATTGGTTGAAGGTCCAAATTGCAGTTTCAGTGCAGCTTCAAAGGGCTCTACATGATCCCAGCCGAGGAATAAGGGTCTTATCTAGCCGAACCATCTGTCATTTTCTTAAAACAATAAACATTTATATACTTTTTAACCACAAATGCTCGTCTTGCTCTAGCTCTGCTTGTGCATGCACATCTTCACGTATTACGTAATCCCGTTGGAAAGGTCACACGCGGTTAGCTCTTCGTCTGTGTACTCCAGTTCAGAAAGGTAGGTAGGGCGAAAAACTCCATCTCATTTTCTCCTCCAACTTCAAAATCGACCGACATCGTTGTTTTACCTTTTTTTGTAAAGGGCGTTTGACTTTCTTCGCACATTAGCCTTGTAAACGCTGGGTCGGTGGTTCTGCCTACGTCACGCATGACCTTTCCAACGTGATTACGTAATGCGTGAAGTCGAGCTAGTGCAAGACGAGCATTTGTGGTTAAAAAGTATATACATTTTTATTTTTTTAGAAAATGAATGATCGTTTCGCTAGATAAGACCCTTATTCCTCGGCTGGGATCATGTAGAGCCCTTTGAAGCTGCACTGAAACTGCAATTTGGACCTTCAGCCAAATTCCTGGAATGTTTTCCTCAAAAACCTTAATTTCTTTGCGACTGAAGACAGAAAGACATGAACATCTCGGATGACATGGGGTGAGTAAATTCTCAGGAAATTTTTATTCTGGAAGTGAACTAATCCTTTAAGGTCTGTAAACCCCTCCCTTCCATAAGCCTACTCTGCTCTGATTGGTCAGCTGGCCAAGTCTGTTGTGATTGGTCTTTCCGTATACAATGCGTGTCGGAAACGCCCATTACCATAATTTTTCTTTTTGTTCAAGAGGGTTACTTGTAAACAAAGATGCTATAAGTTTGCAAAAATGACATCTATATTACCTTATCAATTCGAGCCCGAGTCCGAGGATGATACCGATACAGTTGCTCAACCGGAAACTCCATCGCAAACTCGATTTGATCAGGACATTTCTCAGTGGTAAGTCTAAACTTTGTATGTGGTACTTTACGTGATATGACAGCAGTTTTATTGCATTCATTATATATTATTTAATCATTTTAGGTGCACATGTGGGAACAAAATAAATTTCTTGGACAAACTTTATCTAGATTCCAAGACTCTCCCACTGATCTATATTTATATTTATATTGATCAGTGAACTCGCCAATATGAGGTAATCTAGTAACATTTAGCGACTGTTTTAGCTTTCAATTGAAAGCATATTATTTAATCATTTTAGGTGCACATGTGGGAACAAAATAAATTTCTTGGACAAACTTTATCTAGATTCCAAGACTCTCCCACTGATCTATATTTATATTTATATTGATCAGTGAACTCGCCAATATGAGGTAATCTAGTAACATTTAGCGACTGTTTTAGCTTTCAATTGAAAGCAGTTGGCAACACTGGTCAGTGTTTTTTCCCCTCGTATTTAGAAAAAAAAAACCTCCACATATCACTTTTGGCCTGTTGTGTTTGGTGGGGTTTGTGCCACAATAGTTAAGACCTTGCTTACTGTGTCATCACCAGTGCATTGCTGCATTTTCCCAGTTTTCCAACCAAAAAATTCCTACTTTCATTTCTGCAGCTAGAGCATTGATTTGCACAGTGGAAGAAGTTATTAAATTTCATACTTGGTCAATTACAGAAAGAACTGACCATCTTGACGATCAAATTTGTATCATTTTATCAACTCCATATCATCATATAACTGCAATACCGCATATCTTTGTGGGAAAGTGTGTGTCTCTTTCTCTTTGCTGCCATCTTGTTACTCCTAACTAGGTTTGAGACCTCTCCAGCTCTCTTAAATAATTTAGGAGCTGAGATCTAGTCTTAACACTTAGGAACCTTTATGAATCACAATTATTCTTAACTGTAGAAATAAGAGTAAAATGACATAATTCTTAGAATTTTGAGACTAAAATTTTACTCTGAGCAGCTTTATACATATGGGCCCAGATCATTTTAACAAGACTAAGGATGGGTCATACAAAACTTAATTCTACACTTCACATAATAGGAAAACACAATAAAGGATTATGTGAAATATGCCAAGTGAAGGAAACAGTTGGTCATGTGTTGTTACCCTGTCCTAGGTATAAACAGGAAAGGAATGAACTACAAAGATAACTACAGAACATTGGATGCAATGAATTTCAATCTGCAACATATTAAACACAAAACAATGATCTGATAAAATAATAAGGATAGTTTTAAAATTCATTAAGAATAGTGGACTTAAGAATCGAATATAGATATCATAATATACACCCAGACTGAAATCACTCCAGCACAGGAGGTGGCGGTATGCACCTAAAAAGCTGGTATGCGACCCACCAATAAATCCACAGAAGAAGAAGAAATAGCACACTAGCATATCCAGAGCAGTATGCTTGTATGTTGTTTGAAATTCAGGCAAGATAGAAACCATATAGAACATTTGGTGCTTTTGTTAATATGAGGTTACAATAATTACTTTATTTATTTTTATGTAGTTTGTAAAAACAGGATTCAGATGTTTCATTGTACATGTATTAAACACGTTTATACATGCAGGGAGAGAGCTTTTAAAACGACTAATTACTCATCTTTAATGTATTCATTACACTCCAGTCTATAAGAATGTAACAGTCAAATTACTCGAATAGTAAGATTGTGTCCATGGTCTATTTAAAAGCATTTCAATCTGAAGCATTTAAATTTTGCAAGCAGAAAGTGCCAAAGTGCTAAATTTCTTATTAGTTCAAAGACTAGTGATGTCATCTTCACTTGCTATGCTGGTGCAGTCATCATACACAGTGACTCTTGGGATGGCCACATCTCTCTCCCACACTTTTCTTACGGTCTCTGGAGTTAAAGAAGCCAGAGGCTCAATCACAGACACTTGAGTCTGCTGCACTGCAGTCCCAAGATGCTGAGGGGAGTTAGGACTCAAGCTATTATCTAAAGCCCACCTATAGGCTTTGTTAGTTGGGCTGGTGGGTGATACAACATTATCGCAGAGTGGTCCACCTGATCCTTCATTTTGAGTCCAGGAGGGTCCTGAAGGGCTGAAAAGGTTACCTACACCAAGCAAGTGGGCATGATGAAGGGCATTGTCAATGCTGTGATGGAGGCTGATGGGTGAAGGGTGGTGAAGGTCAAACTCAATAAGTGAGAGAAAGCACTCATGTTCTTGCCATTCCACACCACTAGTCCACAGAAGTGAGGCATGGTGGTCATAACTGCTGCTGTATAGGACACCTCCACCAATAACTCCAGCGTTGTCATGCACAGTCATTATTGAGGTTGCTGGAGTTGCTTGGCTTTGGACTGACTGGCTGACATTTGCACGGGACTGCTTGTGACCTTTCCAGTTATTGGGCAACAGTTTAGCCCAGTTCTTATCCGGTCTCTTCCAAGGCCCCACTGGTAACCTGTCCAACAGCTTGTTCCAGCGTGACACCGGTTTCCTCTTCCCTGTCTGCTTACTTCCTTGAGGTCTCCAGAACACCTGAGATCCCAGCAGTAGAAGAGAGAAACTCCAGGCCACCTCAAGCAGTCGTGCAGAGAGCTGCACCAGCCACCAGCCCCACCCAAATATGCGCCAGTCACCAAGTAACCCATACAGCCAGAGAAAACTATAGATTTGCAAAGCACAGGAGAGCACTCCGAGGAGGGCGCACATCAATAGCACATGCCTGACACTGTTTTCTAAGCGCTTGGGGGCACTCCACCTTGGTAGTGGAGTCCTGTGGGAGGAGTAGAGTTTCTTTAGAGACTGGAAAAAGATTCCTAAACAAAGCGGTATCCCCCAACAAATAGTAAGTGTCTGTAGCATTAATGGCAGTGCTGGCGACAAGGTTTTGGAAAGCAGGTCAGCCAACATGAGGGAGGTACAGTGCAGTGCTACCAGCCCCCCAGTCACCGAGAGCCTCTGAGGTGATGTTTCTTCTCTCAGAGCAAAAACTGCCAATGTGGCTTGGGCCCAGAGCATTAAGGGAACAGGTAAGTTATACAAAGCAGTGAGGGCAGGGCGAGGCAGAATGTTTCTGGTACCATATGGGTCAGTTATGAGCTGTAAAAATCGAAGCAGGCCTGCTAGCAGAAGCAGGATGTTAGCAAGGGTGAAGGCCTTGCAAAACGGTTGGAACAAATTAGCCCCACCAATCACGCCGAATGTTACAGCTATCACTACCAACAGAAATAGTACAGCTGAGCTATACACATGTAGCTCCCAAGCAAAGGTTAGTGTCCGTTTTAAGTCCTCCCACTGTAGCTGGGTCACATTGCCACCGGTGGAGATTACACATGGGCCTAGTATGCATGTACCTATGACATCAGACAGGTTGCTCTCTGTTAATAGTCCAAACAAACTTCCTAACCATTTTGGCTTTTCGTCGTCTATAATGGAAATGGAGAGCATTTTAGTTAGAACACTTAAGTTGTTTTCATTCTAATAAAAAGAGTGTAAAAGTTGTCTAAATTTTTAAATAAAAATGACATTATTCATGATTACCTTTGTTTTTTGAGTAATCTCTATCTGTGACTTTGTTTTTTGCTTGCAAAACAGATGGAGTTGTGGATGATGACCCCACAGGTAAATCAGACGTAGTCTCTTCACGTTTCTCCTTACCTGAAATTCATAAGAAAAATCTGTGTTTATTTCCTTGAGTTGCTGACTTTCTTGCTCTGTTTTTTTTTATTATTTTTTTTTAGAACTGACATTGCAGTGGTTATTCAAAAAACATCACCACTGTTTAACAGAATAAATCTCTCAGATAAATACTAACCGGTCTGTAATGGAGGTGTGGCTGCAGGCGGATGGTTGGTAACATAACGTTCCTCTCCCACCGTGAGATCAAAGAACCCTTGAATGGAGCCAGACTGCGTAACAAGGGTGCCATTGTGTCCCAACATTTCAGGCTTTGTGATGGAGCTTAAATTCTGTGTGGACGCAACATACTTCATATCTTGAGAAACCTTCAAGTCTTCTTTGCTGTTCACATCTAAATCTGTATTAAATGTCTCTAAATGCATATTGACTGGAGACTTTCCTGTAGTGTTTTTCTCTGTAATTGGTTTGATGGTTGTCAACAAAGGTTGGTCTTTGTTCAATCTCTCATTGTTATTTATGTGGATGTGGATGTGTGTAGTCAACTGAACAGCCATTGTGGAAGTAGCTTGATCAGAGGCACTGTTATTGTTTGCTAAAATTATATCTTGATCATCTTCATCAATATTCTGGGTTAGTTTTTTTGGAACTGGAGGGGCAGGGTGAGCAAATAACTCTTGCACGTCAAAATCTTGTTTCTCCGCTCTGTCTGGAATTAACATGTCCATCTCCAGTGGACCAGTAGAGGGCATCATAACCTCAAGGCTCTGCTGAAGTCCACTTCCTTCCCCAGAGCCCTCATTTATGCTAAAGTCAGGCAGAAGGCGTAAAAGCAAGTCTTTGGTAAATCTATTGTCAACTCTTTTCTCAATCAAGCTTGCGTTATGTGATGCAGGTAGAGTTTTTTGAAAGCCATCAGTTGCCTGGATGGTCAGGTTGTTGTGGCTTAAGGGTTGTGTTGAGTTGGAGCCAAAGGAAGTGACAGGTTGCTGGAGAAGAGGCAGTCCTAAAATCAGAGTGAGGAGCCAAACCATCCTGTCCCGTTAATTTCCAAAGGCTGTCGAGTCAAAACAGTGCCAGGAGCTAAATGGTGACAGAACAGGATATACATGGATTATAAAGACTTTTAGAAGCTACACTTGTGAAAGTAAATAACATTTCCCAAATCAAAACCTGGATGAATGTACAGGATATTTATACAGAATATGAAAATAGTGACAAGTATCGCAAAGGTTAAAAGGTAAAAATTTCAGGTCCCAAAGCAGTGACTAAAGTAACTATGCATTATCACTCTTTTCTTTTTCATTTTTTATATTTTCAACAGGGGCTTCTTACAGCTTCTGCACTGTACAATCTGTCAGTTTACCCACACTGTAAAAAATGACCGTGAATTTAACGGTAAAAGACTGTAAAAATGCTACAGTAAAAACCTGTTAAATGGTTAACGGACCGTAAAACCTAAAACGTTGCTACCACATTTTTTACGGTAAAATTCCGGCAACCACAGCTGTCGGTTTTTTACCGTAAATTTTACGGATTTTTTTTTACAGTGCAGTTTTACAATGAATGTAAATAACTGAATTGTACAATAACTTTTGATTGGTTTGTATAACATTTGCAAAACATTTTTTTTTTTGTATTCTAGCATTTTTGGGTGAACAGCATGCGCCTTGCTAAGAAGAGGTGATGAACCAGTAATTTAAATAATTTACATAGATTAAATAGGTTTAGGCTTAGGTGTGAAGGCTGTTATTGAACTTCACTTACAAAATATCTATGAAAATTCTGATAGCACAAACATAGTACAACTATATTGAATTTATAGTTCCGGTGACAGAAAGTATGTATATGTGTATAT